TTTCTTTCTTTCTTTCTTTCTTTCTTTCTTTCTTTCTTTCTTTCTTTCTTTCTTTCTTTCTTTCTTTCTTTCTTTCTTTCTTTCTTTCTTTCTTTCTCTCTTGTCCTGGGGATTGAACTCACAGCCCTGTCCCTGAGTGCTGTCCCTGAGCTACTTTTGCTCAAGTGTAGTGCTCTACTACTTGAGCCATAGCTCTAAGTCTGGATTTTTGGTAGTTAATTAGAAATAGTCTCACAGACTTTCCTGCCTGGGCTGTTTTGGAACTGTGATCCTCAAATTTCAGCTTCCTGAGTTGTTAGGATTAAAGCACTGCCTGGCAACTTTCTTTCTTCTTTCCTTTTTCCTTTGTGGTACTGGAGTTTTAAATCAGAACCTTGTACTTGCTAGGCAAATGCTCCAAAACTTGAGCCATACCCTTAGCCCACAATCTTGCTAACTTTTTAACTTTCTAGAAGGCTGAACCATACATGGGTTTTATTATCAAAATTCTTCAGAATTTCTCTAACCCCCTGTTCTCCTTTCTCTTGATAAGTTTTGGTATCAGTGTTCTCCAGCTGCAGTGCTTTGTTGTAGAAATTATCTTTTAAAATTCAAGGTTTCTGTTTTGATACTTTGTATTTGAAATAAAACTCTCCTCTTTCATTCTACTTGGGTTTTTTTTTTACTGGGTGAGCTATATGTGATTCAGCAATTAAAGTTATAATACAACTTCTCAATCTTATTTTTTTAAAGAACTAATACAATTGCTTCAGTTTAAAAATAAGTTTTTTTTCTTTTTTCTTTTTGTTGGTTGTAGGGCCTGAATTCTGGGCCGGGGCACTGTCCCTGAGCTCTTCAGCTCAAGGCTAGTGATCTACCACTTGAGCCACAGCACCAGTTACGACTTTTTCTGCTTATATGGTGCTGAGGAATCAAACTCAGGGCCTCATGCATGCAAGGGAAGCACTCTACCATGGAGCCATCTTCCCAGCCCTTTTTTTTCCTTTTTCAAATTGTAATATACTGATAGTTGGCTTTTTCCTTAGTTAAATATGTATGACAGCTATTATTCTGTTCATAAATTTTACCCTAGCCAGAAATTAAACTTGTGTTTTCATTTCCTAGTCTTTGGTAAACTGACATGCTTGTAATCCTACTTACTCAAGAAGCTGAGATCTGAGTCTCATGGTTTGAAGCTAGCTTGGCAGGAAATTTCTAAGGCTATTATTTCCAATTAAACACCAAAAAGTCAGAAGTAGAGATGTGATTGAAATGGTAGAGCATCAGCACTGAGTGAAAAATCTAAGGGACAAGGCGTAGACCCAGAGTTCAAGCCATATTACCTTCATATGAAAAAATACGTTTGCTGTATGAGATGCTTTTCTTTTCCTTGCCTTTCCCTTTTCTTTTTCCTTCCCCTTTCCCTTTTCTTCATTTCTTTCTGGAACTAGAGGTTGAACTTGGGGCCCTGTACTTGCCGGGTAAGCACTCTACCACTTGAGACACTTCATCAGCCCAAGGGGATGCTTTGCATACTATTCTTCATTAGCGATTGATTCCCTACTCTATAAGAAATTCTTGACTATATTCTTTATGGAAAAGAAATGTACAAAAACAAATTTTAACATTTACATGAAGAATGTGGGCCATCTTAGTGGTTTTTTTTTTCAGGTGTTTTAAAGAGAAAGTGATGTTGCATGTACAGAGAAAAACATTGACACAATCACTACCTATTTAATACAGTAAGAAAATATTAAAAAGGAGTAAATGAATTTCTGTGTAATGTCCACTTAGCTATTGAAGAGAAATATGATACATTTGTAATGTCTAAATACTCTTGGTTCTTTTACTTTCCAGTGACTGTTCTTGCCATATTTCACGAGCTTCAAGTTGATGTTGAACTCTATGCACTTCTTTTTGGTGAAAGTGTCCTCAATGATGCTGTTGCAATAGTGCTGTCTTCGTAAGTGTTTATTTTCTTATTATATTATGAACGTTACATGTGAGGATATTAGGAACTGAAAGTTATGTATTGAATAAAATGTATTATGAATAAGAAACACTAGTAAGAGCAAGGATTCCCCCTCTCAGGCAAAAATACATTCTCTTTTATTTGTTGTTGGTCTTGGGGCTTGAACTCAGCCTGAGCTCTGTCTCTGAGCCTTTTGGTTCAAGGCTAGCTCTCTACCACTGGCTTTTTGCTGGTTTACTGGAAATAAGAGTCACACAGACTTTCCTGCTGGGGCTGGCTTCAAACTGCAATCCACAGATCTCAGCCTCCTGAGTAGCTGAGTTAAGGCATGAGCCACTGGCTCCCAACTAACAATTTTTAAAACTAGATTTAACTTTTTTTTTTTTGGGTCCGGTCGTGAGGCCTGAACTCTGGGCCTGGGCGCTGTCCCTCAGCTCTTCAGCTCAAGGCTAGCACTCTACAACTTGAGCCACAGTGCCACTTCCGGCTTTTTTCTTTTTGCTTATATGGTACTGAGGAATAGAACCCAGGGCCTCATGCATGCAAGGCAAGCGCTCTACCACTGAGCCACCTTCCCAGCCCCAGATTTAACTTTTTGAACAGAGAATATATCCACATAGTAGAAAAATAAAAACTTTTCAAAGGTTTATACAGAAAAGTCATATTCTTATTTTTATAAACTTTGCGGCCCCTTAGAGCTAGATATATTTGGTTCGTGTGCAGACAAGTATTTATCCAAATGTAAGCATGGATATGAATATGTATTTGCCTTTCCTTTCTTTTTTCTTCCATTTTTTATTGTATTATAATCACACAATCTTTAATTAATGTAGACATTTCCACTGATAATGTTGGCATCTTATTCATTGAGACACATTTATTCCCTTGACTTTTCTTTTTTTGCAAGTATTTCTATTAGTGTACTTTAATTCGACATTGTGTGTGTGTGAGTGTGTGTGCGCGCGCGCGTGTATCCATTATATTTTATATTCCCCTATTACTCAGTGAAGGATTTCACCTACAGAGAATTTGCATTTTTCTCCACGTTTTATTAGAATCAGTTACTTATTTCGGGAGTTTCATTTTGACATGTCCATATATGTATTCCAGACTTTCCCCTCTGTCATTCTCCCTCCAGCCCCCTCCCCTCTTCCTTCTCAAGCCAATTTCAATAAGCTTCATTGTTCCATTTCTTTTGACCATATCTTTTTTTTGTAGTGCTAGAGGTGGAAACCAGGAACTAGTGCAGGCTAACAAAGTGTTCTACCACTGAAGGACATCTGCAGTCCATCATTTAATTTTACTTTTTTGTTTAATGAGACAGAGTCTGGCTGTATAGTCCAAACTAGCCTCAAACTTAACATCTTCCTGCTTCAGTCATTTCTTATTTTGAGAGTAGCCTACAGAGAGAGAGAGAGAGAGAGAGAGAGAGAGAGACGGACAGACAGACAGACACAGAGAGAGAGACAGAGAGAATGAACATGGGTGTGTTCTGGCACTCTTCTCATATTTTTCATTGTGTGTGTGAGACCAGAATTTGAACATCATATTGACCCTTTTGCTTATTGGCTAGAACTCAGCCACCTGAGCCAGGCTCCCAACCCCTCTATTCTCATATGAAAAGAGAATTTTCTTATTCTTTGCAACTATATAATAATCTGTTTGTGATCTATACCATAATTTATTTGCTCAGTCTGTGATTGCTGGATACTTGGAGAGTTTTCATTTTTTTTTGCCATCTCAAATGATGCTTCAACATTTAACCTTAAACTTTTTTTTCAGTTTTTACATGTATACATATATGATAGAATAAAGTTTTAAAAGACCTGATGGGTTTAAAGAACAAATACATTAGTAATTTTATTTAACATTGGTAAATTATATTATCATTTTATACTGTAACCACTAAATTATGGGAGTTTTAAGCTGGGTACAAGTGGCTCAGGACTGTAATCCTAGGTACTTAGGAGGCTAAAATCTGAGGATCTTAGTTCAAAGCTAGCTTGAGTAGATAAGGCTGAGAGACTCTTCAACTAGCCAACAAAAACCTGGAAGTGGAGTTGTAGCTTAAGTGGTAGAGCACCAGCCTTGAGAGAAAAAGCTAACAAAGACTGCAAGGCCCTGAATTCAAGCCTTAGTACTGACACCAAATAAAAAGAATTATGAGAGTGTCTTGTTTTCTCACAATCTAAGCAATATTCTTGCTAATTTTCTAATAGAGAAATACCACATTGTGGCTTAATTTGTGTTTCTTGTATTAAAGTTAATCATTACATCACTCACTTTGGTTTGCATAGCCTGATTACCCATTGCCTTGTTGCGGAATTGAAAATGATCCTTTTGAGATCACACTAATCACTTAAATGTTGTACCTGATAATATCCAAAATGTCATGTCATCCAAAACCCATGCATGAAGCCCTGCATTCGATTCCTCAGTATCACATAAACAGAAAAGGCTGGAAGTGGTGCTGTGGCTCAAGTGGTAGAGTGCTAGCCTTGAGCACAGAGTGGCTCAGGGACAGAGCCCAGGCCTTGAGTTCAAGCCCCAGGACTGGCCAAAAAAAAGTTACTGGTCATAAAAAAATGAAGCTATAAATCTCATTAGATTTCTATTATATAAATACATGTGAGATCACTAGCATGACTAAGTAAAAAGAATAAGGCAGAAGCAGTTGTTTTCAGCATCAGTTCCCTATCCTAGACACTTACTGTATTCTACTGTCTAAACATCTTACCAATAAATGTTCCTTTTTCGTTGCTCTGAGAGATTGCATTGGAAAAATATGTCTGATTTTGTCATATCATAAACTAATAATCCTTATGTCTTAGTTTTTTCATTCATAAAGGGACCCATTTCTTACAAACTTTAGGAGCAGTTGATTAATATTAAAGGAAAAAGTAAACATTTTGATTAAGAGCTTTGTTGTATACATAATGAAGAAGGGTGCTAAAAAGCGACAGCCCTTCCTTTCAGAGGGACCCCCTTGCCTCTTCCTATTGCAACATGTCTCAGACAGAGTCCTGTGAGAGAATGAAACTTTACAGAAAATGATTTGAACGATTTCTTTCTTAATTCTTTTTTTTGGGGGGGGGAGGTCCGGTCATGGTGTCTGAACTCTGAGCTGGGCACTGTCCCTCAGCTCTTCAGCTCAAGGCTAGTGCTGTACCACTTTAGCCACAGCACCACTTCTGGCTTTTTCTGCTTATGTGATGCAGAAGAATCGAACCCTGGGGCCTCATGCGTGCAAGGCAAGCGCTGTACTGCACCACTGAGCCACCTTCCCAGCCCCATCTTTCTTAATTCTTAATAGCAATGTTCTTGGTAATTTTCTAATTGAGAAATACCACATTGTAGCTTAATTTGTTTTTCTTGTATTAGAGTTAATCATTACATCAATCACTTTGGTTTGCATAGCCTGATTGCCCATTGCCTTGCTGCAGAGTAGGAAATGATCCTTCTGAGATAAACACACTAATCACTTAAATGTTGTACAGGACAATATCCAAAATGTCAAAAAAATGTTTTTGTCGTTTTGGGCCTTGAACTCAGGGCCTGATGGTAAAAGCCATTTCTTATTTATCAAAAAATATCAGGTCCTCTGGCACTTTAAACATTTAAACACAGGATTTAAAATATTCAATCCAGAATAAAAAACTTAGGTTAGTCCTGTATTGCAATAAAATAGAAACAAATTAGGAAATTTTAGTTTTGTCTTAGATTTGTTAAAAATTTAACCTGGGAGATAGGAGAACTTGGTATACATGCCATTTTTTAGCCCTGAACCCAAAAAAAAGCACTGAAGTGATTATAGGGAGAGTTTATTATATTCCTGGGAATGTGTTTTTCCTTCTTTTCATTGACATGGCTTGATGCCTTTGAGTCTGGACTTGTTTTGTAATGCTGGTCCCTCAATTACCTGAAATGAGAGCAGAGTTAGTAATATTAAGTACAGTTGGCAATAGCGATTTTCTCAGCTATGTCAGTTTCCTTGGGTGGCTGTTATAAAAGAAGCTTTTGCATACTGGGGGGTCGAGATGAAAAGTGTCTTCTGTAATTGCCTGTCTTAGTCTGATGCAGAGTGACTTTCTTTCAGAAAATTGGGGTGGAGGATGCAGCTGGATATGCTCAAAGTACTATTGAGTGAATTCTAATTCCTTGGAGGGCCTTTGGAGTCCTTTTTCTTACAAAAGTCTATTTCAGTTAGTGAATAGATAGCAGGCATTTGGCCCTTTGTATTATTCTAAAAGTTGGAAAGGTACTTTAGTCATCATTTTTCCTCTATAAGAGAAACAAAATAAAACTGGGTTGAGAACTAAACAATATTCCTTGTATTAATGCCTCTTCTGGAAAAAGCAAGGTTTTTCATTAGTTTGTTAGTAAGTTAGTGCTTTGGGGCACTGAGTACAAGTAACTCTTCAATTGAATCACAGAAGAATAGTACCCAACAGTTCAAGGAGGAAGAAAAAAAATCTCTATCTCCTGAAATTGTCATTGAAAGAAAAGCTTAGTTTGCTTGCTAGTTGGATATGCTCCAGGAATTTGGGGTAACATTTTCTTCATCTGAAGATTTAAGAGTTTTTTCTGTTGCTCTGCTTTTATCTTTATGATCTAAACTAGATAATTTTTTTAAAGTAAAATTGTCTCCTAGAGTTAAGAACATTCTGTCTTTTGTAGCTCAATAGTGGCGTACCAGCCTGCTGGAGACAACAGTCACACCTTTGATGTTACAGCTATGTTCAAGTCGATCGGGATCTTCCTTGGGATCTTCAGTGGATCTTTTGCGATGGGTGCTGCTACTGGAGTGGTGACTGCTTTAATATCCTTTGATTATATTTATCTTTTCCTGTTAACCCAATGAAGTAGTTGAACCCTATCATCTGCAGTTTCTCCTAGTTCTGTAAAGAGAATTATGTTAGAATTATTATTAGAACCAAGTATTTGGTCTGAAAATATGAAACAATAATCTTTGCTAAATTAAAGAATTTCCTTTTTATGCATAGGGCTCAGTGCCCTAAAACTGTTGTGGGGGCATAATCTAGCTACTCTCAAGCTTTCAAACCCTTTGGCTTAGCCTCCTGAATGGTGAGGTAGCAGGCATGTACCATAATGCTTGATACTCCAAAACTTGTATGGCAAGTCATGGTATCCCTTTGAGTGTGGGGTTATTTTTGTGCCAATCCTGGGACTTGAAGTCAGGGCCTAAGCACTGTCCCTCAGCTTTATTTTGCTCAACACTAATGCCCTACCCACTTGAGCCACAGCTTCACTTCTCCATTTTGGGTAGTTAATTGGATATGAGAGTCTCATGGACTTTCCTGTCAGGGCTGACTTTGAATTGTGAACAATATATGATTACAATGCCACATGAACAAATTATGGTTCCTGAGTGAAAGTGTATAGGATTTTAGTCCTTTTTTCCCAATTTTAAACTTTTTATGCCATAGCCCTGGCCTGGGATCCTAGATTGTAGTCCTGATACTGCTATTAGCTAGCTATGAGAAACATTGGGCAAGTCATTCTTGTATTCATTCAGAAAACATTTTCTGTTTTCCTGCTACATGCCAGGTGATGTCAAAAATAAACAAGCCATATATGGTCCTTGCCTCCATAGCACTTCCACTATTATGGCAGATACGAATGTGATAGGAACTTTTATACTCTGCTTCTTTAGATTCCAATGTAGGAAATTAGAGGATAGGAACATTAGGAAAAATGAATAGGAGTGGATGATCTCTAAAGAGTTTCCAGCTATAATCTTTCAATACTTTGGTGGCACTGGGATTTGAACTTAGGGCATCACACTTGCTAGGCAGGTGCTATACTGTTTGAGCCAAGCCTCTACCCCTACCATTTTGCTCTAGTTATTTTTAAGACATAGTCTTGCTTTTTGCTCCAGCTGGTTTGTACCATGATTCTCTATTTAGCTTCCTGTCGTAGCTGGAATTAGAGACATGCTAAAGTGTTCAGCTGTAGGGTGAGATGAGATGGGATCTCATCAGCTTTTTCCCAGGCTAGACTTGATCTATGATTCTCTTACTCTTTGCCTACTAAGGAACTAGAATTGTAGGTGAGAATGAAAGTCAGGATTATACCTTCTTAGCCACAGCCTCAGCCCTCTTTTAATACTTTCATATAAAAAATGCATGATTCTTTGTTAAAGAATATCTTAGTTTGCTTGGTTTGTACTTCAACTTTGCACTGGTATGGACTTTTCTTGTGGCTTTTTATAGATGAACGGAGGCGTAAAGGGCAGTAAAATGGTTCTGAAGGTAGCCAGTACAGATGGTATCTCTTTGCTATTAACAGGTGCCTTGAGGGTAGGAAGTTTTATCTTGTTCATCATTTTGTGGTAGTACATAGTTCCTGAAGTGACACTAGATTCTAGCCTGAGGTCTGTCGCAACTTGGCACACACCATTCTACCCACTGTCAGCCAATACATACTTTTTTGTTCATTTATTGTAAAAATGTTGTACAGGAGGGTTACAATTACATGAGCAAGGTAATGAGTACATTTCCTATTGAGCGTTGTTGCCTCCTCCTTTGTTTTCCCCCTACCATCCCTTCCCTCCCTCCTCCACAACTACCCCCCAATACATGCTTTTTAAACTAATAGAAATGAGTGAAGTGCCCATTACTTCATCATGGAGTGAATGCTCTACATCACAGAAGTTTTAGAACGTGAAGTAAAAATTGCTCTAATTACGGAAGTTGACTTGCTTTGGGCCACAAATTAATAGCATTGGCATGTTTTGTATCCAATCTGCTTGCTTTTCCCTGTTACCTACTTTTTACTGGCAGGGTATTTTTCTGGCAGAGTATCTCATCCCTGTAATACAGAAGGAGCAGCTAAGCTATGAGACTCACAGGAATGCAGCTGCAGCCTACCCCTTAGCATTCTAAGAGTTCTAAACTTCATTGCTTTCTTACTCTGTGACTGTGTGTGTTTGTGTGTATGTGCGTGCACGCACACGTGCCAGTACTGGGGCTTGAACTCAGAGCCTGGGTGTTGTGCATTAGCTTTTTTCAGTCAAAGCTGCTACTCTACCACTTGAGTGACACTTCCACTTTGAGCATTTTGCTGTTAATTGGAGATAAGAGTCTCTCAGATTTTTCTCTCTGGACTGGCTTTGAACTGGGATCCTTAGGTCTCAGCCTCCTGATTAGCTATGATTACAAGCATGAGCTACTAATGTCTGGCTTACTTTGTGACTTTTATATTAGGTATGCTTGACAGCCTTATTACCTTCATGGTTTCCTTGCTTCAACTGTTGTTTTTCTAGTCCCATTTCTGTCTTTTGAGATCTTGTTACCAAGCTTAACAGTCCTACGTGACAAAGTTCACTAAATTGCGGGAGTTCCAGTTGCTGGAGACGGGCTTGTTCTTCTTGATGTCCTGGAGTACCTTCCTCTTGGCTGAAGCTTGGGGTTTCACAGGTGGGTGACTTCCTTCTTTGGATTATAAACCTTTACAGGGAATAACCTAGAGAGCTACTCCACAGGTAGATCAGTTCCTCATATTTGAACATACTGTTATGTTTGGGATTTAGGTCCTCATGTTAGAATGTAAAACAGATTTCCAGTGAAAATGGTTTCTGTCAACAAAGTACATGAAAACGTCAATACTATGCGTAAAATCTGCCTAAGTATAAATTTTGTGAACCATCCTTCTATGGGAACTTGAAATTTACTGTCTTTGTAGGTGTGGTTGCAGTATTGTTTTGTGGTATCACACAAGCACATTATACATACAATAATTTGTCCACAGAATCTCAGCACCGAACAAAACAGGTAAGAGAAGCTATAATTATTAATTTTTTTTCTTTCAGCAAAACACGTTTTTTCAACTTAGAAAAAATTTTAATCCAGTTCAGGAAAAATGTACTATTCTTTTGATTCTACAAGTAGATGAGACTAGTAGGGTAAAAGCCTCTTGATGGGGATACCTTATCTTAGCAGAATAACCAGAGGCTATATTAATATGCTTCCCATAGCCAATCAGTTAGCCTCCTCTTCTAGTATTTTCCTGCTCTTCAGTGAATTTAAAGAGTAATGCTTTGCAAACTCATTCTAGGTTGAATAGAACTGTTGTTGTATAATGAAGATAAGGTTAGCTATTAATCTCCTGGTCCATACACAGAACATTGACTTCTTTCAGTCTTCATGCAAGCCGTGCAAAGCTTACTATTGCCAGCAACCTCAGAGGACTGTGTCATTGGCCAGGTATTAAGGTGCAGTGTACTTGAAAAGAATTATGAAGGAAATAAGCATAGAATTTTCCAGTTTTAGGAAAAATGGGACAAATATGCAAGTAAAATGTACTATCTGAATGTATATTCCAGATGAGGATCCTAGCAATAACTAGTAGCTTTCAGTTTTGCCAGATGATTAGAATAGTGACATGAGCCTAGAAGGGACCAATGCTGAAGCAGGGACAGTAAAGTAGTTCCTTTTTTTCCACATTGTCTTAGATCCTCAAATTTAGTTTATGACCCATACTTTCTCTCCAAAAGAAATTAAGCTTTCCCATCAAAGATACATTAAAAATTACAAATCATTTTTGCAAATGAATTCAGTGCAGTGAGTATAGAGAAGAAAACCAGCTATAGTTGCAGTATTTTTCTAGCGAGAAAGCAGGGGCATAAAACCAACAGGATAGGGCTGGGAAGGTGACTCAGTGGTAGAGCACTTGCCTTGCATGCCTGAGGCCCTGGGTTCGATTCCTCAGCACCACATAAGCAAAAAGAAAAAAGCTGGAAGTGGCACTGTGGCTCAAGTGGTAGAGCGCTAGCCTTGAGCTGAAGAGCTGAGGGACAGCGCCCAGGCCCAGAGTTCAGGCCCCACGATCGGACCAAAAAAAAAAAAAAACCCCAAAAGGATAAAAGCTTTCGATCTTGTTGGTGATAGGAAACATGTACACAGAAAACTGATACAACTAACAAATCCTGGATTATGTGCTTGGGATCATATGTCATATGAGAAATGGCAGAGAAACAGGGAAATAGTTTGAAGTTTAAGCTACTGGATGCTATCACAGAAGAAATGGTGCATCCCAAGGATTTGGAAATGCCTAGGAGAATTTGTAAACCAAGAAAGTTGTATAGAATTCAAGTTTCAATGTCTATGAATAGATTTTATTGGCAATTAACTAGACTTATTTTTAAATGTATAGCTATGGCTAGCAAAGTTGGGTAGTTGTGACAGAGACCTGTGATCAGCAAAGCCTCAAATATTCATTCTCTGTCCAGATAGGATGGCATATACCTATAATCTCTGCCTTCAGGAAAAAGAGGCCAGTGGATCACAAGCTCAAGGCCAGCCTTTGCTATGTAGTAAGATTCTAAGAAAGAAATTACTCTCTTCCCCTGCACAGGAAGTTTGAAAACCCCTGTGTAGTAGATTTGAACCAAGGCTCTATATTGTTTCAAATCCTTTGTTTGACCTTTTTTGCACCCCCCCAAAAAAAGCCTGTCCTTGGGCTTGAACTCAGGACCTGAGCGCTGTTCCTGAGCTTCTTTTGTTCAAGGATAGCATTCTACCACTTGAGCCACAGCTCAACTTCCAGCTTTTTTCGGTAGTTTATTGGAGATAAGAGTCTCATGGACTTTCCTGCCCAAGTTGGCGTTGCACTGCGATCCTCAGTGCTCAGCCTCCTGAGGAGCTAGGATTAAAGATGTGAACCACCAGGTTACGCACTACTTTTTGGTTGTGTGACAAGAGCACACAACTTCTCTGTGCTTCATTTTTGCTCTCTTTAAAATGCAGATAATAGTACCTACTTTGGAGTGGTGAGATTAAAAATGAGACAGTGCCATGGAAAGTGCTTAGTATAGAATTAGACACATAGTAAACCTAGATAACAGATAGCTATTACCATGAAATAAGTAAATACAAATAGTAGTGTATTAAGTCATTTAAAGAAAAATGTGTACTTATTTTCATTTTTTTCCCTCATAGTTGGGTAGTAAGCCAGCACAGCATTTTTTGTATATGAGTTTAGGGATTGGTTCTGCAGCTTCGTACATGGTGGTCAAATACTGTACCACTGAGCTATATCCCAGCCCCTCAAATTCTGCTTTGAAAAGGTAACTTGCCCAAAGCCACATAGCTAGCAAGCAGGGAATGCAAGGGACTCAGTCTGACTAAGATTAGGTTCTTTTTCTCCTTCCTATTGTGGGAAAGAGCATGGATAGATAGCTACCATGGCTAGAGGGATGTAACTATGGAGGGCCTTCATTCATTCATCAAGCCTCGGACCCCTGATGTTACTAATGTTTGAGAAGGGAGCTGAGTACAGAATCCCTGTCATTGGGAAGATTACTTACTAAATGTGGACTAAGACTCGGGAGAAAAAGTGCAGTCAGCAACAAGCTAGTGATACGAGATTGGCTCTGCAGCACTATGCCAGGATAAAGTTGAATGGGATCATCTAGCTTGTAGAGAGGGAATTACACAGAAATTGTCATTTCTAGAGAGACTAAGAAGCTGGAGGTGGGAAATGGGGGTGTCAGATTTACCATTTAGTATCCTCTTGCACCATGGTGAGTGGAAAGTAAAGCAATGGCAAGGGACACAAGGAACTTTCAAGAAAGAAAATTTGCCCAGGTTTGGAGGAGGAAGAAAGACTGACAGGAGGGATTTGGGGAAGGGGAGTGAAGACGCAACATTTATATCTCTTTCTGTGGGACTGGAAATGACATCCATACATTCAATCCCTTTGAGTCACCTATTTTCAGTTACATGTATAAACTCTGTATATCGAGAGTCTGTTTCATTGTATTAGTAATGCTCATGTTTTCAAATTGTGAAAATTATTGACTGGACTAACTTGTAACAATTTCATTGCAGTTGTTCGAGCTTCTCAATTTCCTGGCAGAGAATTTCATCTTTTCCTACATGGGGCTCACACTATTTACTTTCCAGAACCATGTCTTTATCCCAACATTTGTGGTAGGAGCATTTGTATCCTTTGTGTTCTGTTTTGAAAAGCCATTTTTAGTTGAGATTTTCATATAGTTGGGAGTATGGTTGACAATAAGGCCTTTATGTAAAATTTTCTTCTGGGTAAAACAAACAAGTACTTTAACTCTTTTTTTCTCTTCTATTATGTGCTGTTTAAGTTTTTGTTTATTGCTTAAAAGTGACAGATTGATATGATAGAGATCCTCTACCATGCTTGCCTCATATGCCTGAGGCCCTGGGTTCAATTCCTCAGCACCACATAAGCAGAAAAAGCCAGAAGTGGTGCTGTGGCTCAAGTGGTAGAGTGCTAGCCTTGAGCTGAAGAGCTGAAGGACAGTGCCCAGGCCCAAAGTTCAGGCCCCATAACCAACAACAACAACAAAAAGAAATCCTCTACCATTCTGCCAACCTCAAAGATAAAATTTTTTGTCCTCAACTGGGTATGATGGGTGCATACCTGTAATCTCAGTTACTTGTGACACTAAGGCAAGAGGAGGATACCAAGCTCTAGGCCAACATAATGAGGTCCTGTCATAAAGTTTTAAAAAAGGGTTGGTGATGTAACTCAGCCATATAACATTAACACTGTATGTACAAGACCATATGTTCCATCTCCAGTACCACAAACTCCTCTTTTATTAAGAGGAGAAAAGCAGTTTATACTACATCGTATTAGAGGAAAAAAGAAGTTTAAATGAGGTAACGAGGTCAGTTTCTATTGTCTTTCTCCCTCCCTCTCCCTTTCTCTTCTTCCATCCACCTATCCATCTCTCTGAATCAACTTCCGGTAGTGCTGGGGTTTGAACTCAGGGCCTTGTACTTGCTAGACAGGTGCTATACCACTTGAGCCATATTCCCAGCCCATCTTTCTCTCTCTCTTTCATATGAGTGAATAGAGACTTTAAAACGCAATTGAAAGGAAGAACCTGAGAATATGAAAGAAAACAGTAAGTAGTATATGCCTCTGAGAATTTAGCGAGAAATGGAATCCAAAGCATGTGAAGAGGAATTGGCCTTCATTGGGAGGAGAGCCAGCTGCTTTGTTGGTACAAAAGAGAAAAGGGCATGTAGAGAAGAAGGTGCGGGCTGGGAAGGTGGCTCAGTGGTAGAGCACTTGCCTTGCATGCATGAGGCCCTGGGTTTGATTCCTCAGCACCACATAAGCAAAAAGAAAAAGCCAGAAGTGGTGCTGTAGCTCAAGTGGTAGAGCACTAGCCTTGAACTGAAGAGCTGAGGGACAGCGCCCAGGCCCAGAGTTCAGGCCCCACGACTGGACCCCCCCCCCAAAAAAAAAGGAAAAGAAAAGAGAAGAAGGTGCATCTGTAAGATGGAGCTCCTGGATTCTGTTTTTACCTGTGAGGTAGTGGGTAAAAGTATCTTCTAAGAGTGACTTAGAGAAGTATATCAATTGTATCTATCATGTAACACATTACCTTGAAACACAGCAGGTTTAAAACAGCAAACATCCCAAAGGTCAGGAATATCCAAAGGACGGGAGTCCTGGAGTAGCTTTGTTGGGTGGTTCTGGCTGAAGAATCTCTCAGAAGGTTGTAGTAGCATTGTTGGCTACCATTACACTGAGTAGGTAGCTGTGTGTGGAAGTTCCCCTGCAGGCTTGCTCCCAAGGCTGTCAGCAGGAGAGGATTCCTACCTCCCATTAGAGCAGTTCACACCATAGATTTCCCCAGAGTGAGTGAGCTGAGAGTATCAAGATGGAAGCCAGAGTCCTTTTAAACTTGAATCTCAGGACCTAGAGGTTCACAGCTATAATCCTAGCTACTCAGGAGGCTGAGATAATAGGATGCAGATTGCAAGACAATGGGCGAGGGGATCAGAAAAATCCATGAGACTCCATTTCCAATTAATTAGCATGAAGCCAGGCTGGCAATACAGCATGAGCTGTGAGCAAGCAAGCCAACACACACACACACACACACACACACACACACACACACACACACACACACAAAATCTAGTCTTGGAAGTAACATCTCATTATTCCTTCTGAAATATTGACCAACCTGATACAATAGTACAGTGTGAGCAGGGACTGCCCAGTATTGTGATAACTAGAAAGCAGGGATCATTAGGAACTACATTAGAGGGTGGCTTACCCAGATGATTAAGAATTTTGAGGAAAGTAAGACAAGATTTATAAAATAGTCACTGAGAATGGAAGAATGAATTGACCAAGGAAATGCACTAGCATTGCTGAGCTGTAAATAGGGACACATTTGAGTTGGAGGAGCAGGTATTTACAAGAAAGCCACTCTGCCTTGTTGTGTGACTGTGTCCAGGAGGCCTTAGCTGTATGCATGGAGAAAAGAAAATAGGGTCTATCCAGGTATGGGTTTTCTGTTGAGTGGATGTAATGAAACAGACAAGGCCAAAGCAAATGTTGGGTATTAGAAAGAGTATTACCAACACATGGATAAGGGAAGTGAAGAAAAGAGAGGATTGACCATTGGAGAAAAAAGTAGAATGTTTGTCCTAGAGATCCCAGTAAGATGAAAGAGTGATGAAAGATAGTTGAACATAAAATATGGAAAGAAACATTGTGGTCAGAGAGAGGTGGGAGAGGGGAAACAAGGCTCTGAAGGTTTCCTTATTAATGAGTTTTCTTTTTTAATTTTAATTTTATTGTCCACAAGATATACAGAGGGGTTACAGTTACATAAGTAAGGTAGTGAGTACATTTCTTGTCTAACTTGTTAACCCCTCCCTCGTTTTCTCCCTCTTTTCCTCCCCCTCCCCAACCCCCCCCAAATTGTATAGATCATTTCCAACATATTGTCTTGTGAGTATTGCTGTTGTATATGTCCCTACTTGTTCTTTGTCTCACCATTTTGTTGTTCCCCTTCCCCTCCCTAGTTCAGATAAACGAATATACATACCCAGTGTACCAAAATCAAATACAGTGACAACAGGGAATATTTGTGTGTCAGTGCTGGAGCTTGAATTTGAGGGCTGGGCGCTGTCCCTTAGCCTGCTTTTTTTTTCTCAAGGCCAATGCTCTACTTACTACTTGAGTCACAGCTCCACTTGAGACTTTTTTGTGTGTGTGTTTAATTGGAGATGAGTCTTGTGAACTTTCCTGCTTTGAACTACAATCCCCAGATTTAGCTTCCTCATTAGCTTATTACAGACATGAGCCACCTGTGCCTGGCTTGAGTTTTCTAATAGCTCTGGGTATTATTTGTTTGTTTGTTTAACTGCAGACCAATCCACCTCCCTGAGCTTTTTTGCTCAAGGCTAGTGCTCTGCCACTTGAGCCACAGCTCCCCCACCTGGCTTATTTTTGTAGTTTATTAGGGACTCCTGTCCAGGCTGGCTTCTAACTGTGATCCTCAGAACTCAGCCTTTTGAGTATCTACGATTACAAAAGTGAGTCACCAATGCCCAGCTGTTTGCATTCTTGTTTTTTTTTAAGAAAACAAAACTTTTCTGTTGTTTTTTTTTGGGGGGGTCCGGTCGTGGGGCCTGAACTCTGGGCCTGGGCGCTGTCCCTCAGCTCTTCAGCTCAAGGCTAG